AGAGAGCTTCATTTAGTTTTGTCACTTAAAAATTAGACTTAACTTTTGGTTTGTCAAAGAAAGGTTGTAGTCTAACAAATTAATTGGAGAAGTCGTTGGGCACCTGTTTCAGAATAGTGGGTGTCAAAAAACAAATATTGATGAAAATACCCTAAAATTGAATAGTAACTTAAAGGTCTATGTATTAGTATAAATGATTAACTTTGACCAGCTGAGCTCTATTTTGACATCCAATTTATGAAAAACAAAGTATTTGTCTTTTAGGTTATTTTGAATACAAATTTTTAGTGGATCAATCACATTTAAAATTACTAGTATTAACATCACATTTATTTGTATTAAAAGTGAAAGTAAGTTTAACACGATGCCAAAGCATTTCTCCACTAAAGAATCAGCCAGTATTTGCTCAATAGACTTAACCAAAACTGAAGGGATGTCATCATTTTGGAAATTGGTTTGTAAACAAAATAATAAAAAGGATAAACAAACTTCAAATAGCAATGCAACACCAAAACTCAATAGTTTAACATTGAAAATACTGAAACTTAGAGGAATTGACCTTACTAGCTTAGACATGAGCAACATTGGTTCAATGAACCTGGAAAAAGGTGCGGTTTTCGACCCTGCTCAGATACAGTTAATCAAACAAAATCTGAAGAACGGAAAGTTTTCATTTGATACACAGCTATTAAATGGCATAAACAACAATTCAAACAATCACCATAAAGATGTCAAAACATTTGAATTAAACAAGACAAGTGATAGTTCTGACAAATCACAAAAAGGATTGATCAAGACTAGTACCAGTAAACCACAATTTAATCTCAAAAAGCCCAAAGTTATAGCTTTTATAAACAATACAGGAGCTCAGATAACCAAACTTGAAACAAATAATGCAAAAGATAAAAATAATCTAAACGAACTAACTGAAAATGATATAAAGGCAAAAACTGAGGAATTAGAGCTACTTATTCCAAAAAAGAAAGTTAGGGTGGTTTATTTAAGAAAAAAAGGTTTAAAGAAAAGGAAAACATCCAATACCAGTAACACAGAAGAAACCTCATCCAAAAGCTTGGAAAGAAATGATCAGACAGGTTCTGATAATGTTTCTCTTTTACCCAAAACCAAATTTATAATGAATGAACAACCAAAATCGATTAATTTTGCATCAATATCAATAGATAATAAATCAAATCAAATTACTATATGTAAGAAAAATGATCTTTTTACCCGATCACGTTCACAGCCACTAAATTCCCACTATAATGTAAATACTCAATTACCTAGTAATGCTCAGAGAACAAAATTTTCTCCAGCTAGTCCTAAAACAGTTAAGGTAAATAAAGAAAAAGTTGTTAGACCTCATAAAAATCTGCATACTATAACTGAACTTAGTCATGAAAATACATCCTTGGTCTGTGATTTAAAAAATAATCTAAAAACAAAGAAAGAGCACAAAAGCAAACAAGAAAACAAAAACGATTACCGTAAATCTGTACCATTACTAAACGATCCAGATTTGCTCATTAAAAACCATAATTTAATAATCCCGGGAGATTTATCAGAGGAAAGTTTGTTTGAAGCAAACCCGTCAGCTGGGTGTGATACTATTTTACAGTTGTTCAGCTCTTTGTCGAAAAGTCACAATTTTCATGAGCAAAATTCCAATTTTAAAGAAATTAACGACCACAAACGACAATTGGAGTTTGAAAAAAATTACAATAGTGATAAAAAATATGACGAAACAATGAACATGGATGCGGCTAGAGTCAGAAGCATTTTTACAAAAACTACTGTTAAAAACGACAATCAAAATAATTGTGAAGATAATATGATAAGGCTAGACAATCATTTCAGTCTACCTTCAAATCATGCATTGAAATTACATGCCAATAGTGAATTGAATGAAAATAAGAGGGAATTGGTAGAAAATGTTTCAGAGGCGGGAGATAAACTTAAGATGTACCTGGTTCATGCTATCGAAGAAATTAACGGTGTCAATGGCTCAAAGGATGCTGTCAGTAAACATAGCAATAATGAATTTCAAACTACAAGCTGTATTAAGATACAATCCATAACTAAGATAAACAATCTTGAAGACAACATATCTGAAGAACGTATTGAAGTGACATCGGAGAAACATGAATTGGATGAGTCAACATCCTGTGAGGGCAGATGCTGTAACTCCAAAGTTAGTTGTACAAGAGATAGTTTAAAGAACAATTTGTCACATATATCATCCAAATCTTTAAAACCTGATGAAGTAAGTGATGATTGGAATGATTCAGATGGTGCCTCCAAGGGGGATGGTAAAGTAAATGTGAACCTATTTACACTTGATATAACTCATGATCAATGTGGAAGATCACTAGACCAAACTCAAAAGTCTTTTAAGAAAACAACAATTTCTCTCCCAGTGAAGTCACCAAAACAACAATTGAGCATAACTATTCAGCTTGACAACAAGTTAATAACTGATGAACACAGGGACACAAGTTCTCAATGTACAAGTGGAAAATCCAAAGGGACCAAATCATCTTTGCTGCTTGAAGAAACGTTCAATTCAAATAAGTCTCAACTTAACAGTGGCCAAAGGGAATGGGGAGATTGTGGGGAATGCAAAACCGATTGTTATGATGAACTAAACTTTCTACAGTGTGGTATATCACATACAAAGTTAACATCACTTGGTAGAGGAGAACAGTTTTATAAGATTGATCATTCAGTAACCAAACAAGATACTAGAAAAACCCAACTCTTTGGAATAACAAGCAACGTCAACTACTTGAATAAAGATCAGAGAAAAGTGTTTGATAAACATGTATTAGGAATAAATAATTGTGAAAAGTCCACAGACTTGTCAGACTTCACCGTGAAAGGACAGTACAAAAGAACTCTTCCTGATGTAAAAGAAAATTTGTGTACTAAGAATGTGTTTGGTGGGTTGCCAATAGTATTTTTCAATAACAACATTAGTTATTCATGTGCAAATGACAATTTAAAGAATGAGTCAAACATGGGTAAAACTAGACAATTTCATTTGAAGAATCATATTGGTCTAAACGGTGTCAAAGATGTAGACATTTTAAAGAACAATTTGAAAAATGAATCCTTTTATGAGAAAAATGGAAGAGATTTTTATAAACAAATACTTCCACAGTTGTTCAAACTTCATCAGTGTAATAATCATTTGATCAGCAATGATAACAAAGAAAATTCAAATGATGCTGATAATCTAGACACAAAAATATTTGGTTTTAACCCCACTATAAATCAAGAATCTTCCGTCTTTCAAAAACAAGGAGAAATCCATTCTTCCTTCCAAAGATTGAATGACAAATTGTGTAAAGCAAAATATGTTGAACTTGATCACAAGAATATGTCAAAAGATACAAACATCTGGTTTTGTAGTGTTGGGTCCAATAAGTTCAGCGATAAGCTAGGAGAAGGGAAACCCAATCCTGTACATTTCCCACTAATAGAAGATCATAAAAAAATACCAATATTTCCCCAAGCGGATTTTAATATCATTGATATCAATAACAAATCTAATTCCTTAGACATGTCAGTTTCCAATGAGACTAATATCAAACCACAATTTGCTGAATCAGACCAAACCTACATTGAAACACTATTGAGAAATTTACATAATAAAATGGTAAACAATCAATCCCAACAACAAATAAATGATCAAACAAATCTAGAGAACAGTGTTCATATTGAAACTTCCTTAGTACATCGTAAATATGAGGAAAACTGTCTTCCAAGAGCCTATGACTTGTTAAATAATGATCAAGAGATCATAGATAGTAGTACATCCATGCAAAAAGAGTCTGATGTAGGACTTTATGGCGGATTACATATTGAAACCTCAAAACAGACTATTTTGAACGAAACAGGCAAAGTTGATCAATGTGCGTGTTGCAGAGTTGGTTGTTTGGCTGTTATATCTGATTGCTCAATTGATAGTTCCGTGGAATAATGCTGTGTTACTGAATGTTATTGAATATTACACTCTTTTAAAGTTAAGCTAGTTTCTTTTTGTTTGCTTATATTCATCTCTAAAAAAATATATTCATTTATATATGGATATATTCATTCATGTACCGGTATGGAATGTGTTAGGAGAACTTTTATTTGTGTGTAAAGTAAAGGTAAATAATCGCAGGTTTTATTTTTGTAAATTTTTTCTCCTAACTATAATTGATTGTCATCAACTGGTGCATATGATAATGCATAAAATTCACTTATGTATAAAAGTAAAAGTATCAATTTAAAGTAATACTTACATGATATTTTAGGCTTACCTTCATTGTAAGTATGTTTAAATTGAGCCAGATTTCAATTACTTTATGTAATTGAAGTTTGACCCAATTTGGACTACTTATGGAGGCTAGCCTGAAATGTCATATATACATAGTCCAGGGGCTATCAGAATGAATATTATAATATTTATACTCTTGTTCAATTTTCCTCAGTATTTTATGTACAATTTGTAGCAGTTTTATTTATTCACACTTTTAAAATACCATAGTTTTCAATGAGTGGGGCTGAATCCTGTAAATTCTTTTATCTAGAGATAATGATTACTTCAATATTTACTCAATGAAGTCACTGCTGTGTTTTGGCTTGTAGTTATCTGCCAGTACTCCCATCGCTACAACATGGCCAGTGTTAAACAGTGGTGTTTCTCTGTACTAGAAGAACACAGAGGGATTATTGTGCTAGTGTTTTGTTTACCTTTAAGTTTTATATTTGATTTTTTCCTCAAATTTTATTTCTATGTTAGAAAGTTTACCTTTAACAGGGATCATGAGGCTAAGGTCAGGGATGTTCAAGAGAACATACAATATTGGAACAAACTTCCTAAAAACAACAGAAAACCCCTCTGCACTGCTAGAGCAAATTGGCTCAGTCTTTCAACAACATTTTTCCAAAAAAATAACTGTCATAAAATAGCAATACCCCTTTATGATATATTGGGTTTGGATGAGAAAAAACTTAAAGTGAAAGTAGAGCCTTTAGTGACTGTTGGGGAGATTACTAAATATTTGTTGCCCAGAGGTTATATATTGGCAGTGCACTTGGAAATAGCCGAAGCGACTCTTGGTGGACTGGCTATGGGTGTGGGGATGACCACTCACTCACACAAAGTAGGACTATTCCAAGAGAGTGTCATATCATATGATGTTATCTTAGCAAATGGCAAACTTATACATGTAACTAAAGACAATGAGCACTCAGACCTTCACCAAGCGTTGCCTTGGTCTCACGGAACATTAGGACTCTTAGTTGCACTCGAGCTTGAAATCATTCCAGCCAAACCTTACATACACATGAACTACATCCCTATGAGAGGAAAGAAGAGGTACTGCACACTACTGAGGGAACTAGCAGGAGCAAACAACAAAGATAAACATACTCCTGACTTTTTGGAAGCTATAATCTACAGTAAAGAAGAAGCTGTAATTCTAGCTGGATGGTTTTCAAACGCAACAGATCGCTTGAAGGTGAACCATGTCAAGAAGTGGTACAAACCTTGGTTTTATAAATACGTAGAGACTTTTCTGAAGAGGGGAAATACTGAAGAGTTGATTCCGTTGGAGGATTATCTTCTGAGACATAACAGGTCCATATTTTGGGTGATGGAGTCGATGCTTCCTTTTGGGAACAATGAACTGTTTCGTTTGTTTTTTGGATGGCTTTTACCACCCAAAATAGCTTTTTTGAAGTTCACAACAACACCAGGTACTACTTTTGTGTGTTAGTTTAGAAAAGTCAGATTACTCATGTAGACAATTACATGCTAAAATTAATATTTAAGTTAGACTTTAGCTTCTTAATACCTCGCCAAAGTCAAAGTCAAAGTCAAAGTCAAAGTCCTTTATTCAACCAGATTGACAATACATTGCATTGGCCAAGTCAAGAGATTACATTTTTATGAAATTAATTAACTACTAAATACATTATATACAAATTGTTTTCTTTTATGTTTAATAAGGTTAAAGCCTACCAGGAAATTCCCGGACGCTGTAGCAGACCTTATTTATCAACATGGACTTAACTAATTTCCTGAATTTTCCGATGTCCTGTTCGGCTTTCAAAGGGAGAGGGAGGTCATTAAAAAGTTTTACTGCATTGAAGTGGAAATTTTTCTGAAAGAAAGTGGTTGAGTGTCGTGGTACTGAAAGATTGAAATTGTTGCGGAGACGATAACTATGGGTACTTGGAGAGCTATATGATGATGGGTTTTTCTTGATAAATGATAATGTTTCTAAAATGTAAATGGAAGGGAAAGTTAGAACTTTATGTGATCTGAAGACATCTCTGCAGGATTGACGACGGTGAAGGGAAAAAACAGTTCGGAGAGCCTTTTTTTGAAGCCTGAATATGAACTGAGTCCTTTGGCTTTCACACCCCCAGACAGGTACAGCATATGTCAGATAAGGATAAACTAGTCCATAGTAGGCTGTCAAGAGGACCTCACACGAAACAGTATGTTTAAGAGTGCGGAGCATGAAAATCCCAACAGATATCTTGTTTGAAACGTGATCGATATGCTTGTGAAATTTGAGGTTCTCGTCTAGAATTAAACCAAGGAACTTTACATCTGGGGAGGGGGAAATAGTGGTATCATCAAGAAGAACATGTATGTCAGTGGATGTGCGATGCTGATCAATGCTAAATTGAAGGAGTGTGGTTTTGTTGGCATTTAAGATTAGTTCATTATCCTCACACCACTGAAGCAGGCAGTTGGATTCAAGAAATAGGGTCTGTTCTAAGGCATGAATACTGGGATTTGAAATGGTGATAGAAGTGTCATCGGCAAAAAGGCATATGTTTGCAAGATTCAAGCTGGATGGAACATCATTTATGAAGATAAGGAAGAGAATCGGACCCAAGACGGAACCCTGGGGCACACCTCTCCTGACTGGGACTTCTGAAGAGGAATGGTTCTGCAAGTAGCCACTTTTATTTACAGCTGGTATCATAACAAACTGTCGCCTGTCTTTCAGGTACGAAGAGAACCAAGCATGAGCTACTCCTCTAATGCCCAGATCATTCATTTTTCTCAACAGTATATCATGGTTCACGAGGTCAAAAGCTTTGCTAAAATCAAAGAACATCCCTGCTACTTTCTGACGTGAATCCATATCCCTCACCACTCTGTTTATGTGACCAAGCATGGCACTGGTTGTCGATCTGTTTTTTACAAATCCATGCTGGTTTTCATATAGGATGTTTTGGGACTCTAGGAAACTCCATAATCTATTAACCATTGCTTTCTCAAATACTTTACTAAAGGTTGATATTAAACTAATAGGCCTGTGCAGCTGGTTTTGTCCCCTTTCTTGAAAACGGGTCTTACCATTGACAGTTTTAGATTGGAAGGGAATTTTCCCTCAACGAAGGAGCAGTTAATCATGTGACAGAGTGGTGATGAGATCAGACCTGAAATGGTTTTCAGTAGTTTCGGAGATATTTCATCAACTCCTGAGGATCTTTTATTCTTTAGCTCACTGATAATGCTTTTGATTTCTTCTTCAGTCACTGGTTTCAAGAAAAATGACGATATTATATTTCTATTGTTTAAATTGCAGGAGTTAGGAGGAATTCTCGCACCTTTGTTGTTGTAGCTACCAACTTCAGCAAAAAAACTGTTAAATCTGTTGCACACTTCATTGGGATTAGTAATGGTTACACCACCACTGTCATCCTTAATACAAATACTATCCATTGCCTTCTTTTTTCTTGGTCTGTTTTCATTTATTACTTTCCAAATACCTTTAGTTTTACTGTCTGATTCTTCAATCTCGGCAATTACCATTTTCGTCTTTAATTCTCTAATTAGTTTTCTATATTCATTTTTTAATCTCAGATAGTATTGTCTTAGAACGTTATCAGAGTTGAGGTGCTTTGTCTTCTCATAGTATACAAGACATTGTTCTTTTAGCTTTAAAAGTTCAGCTGAAAATGAAATTCGTCTTTTGTTTTTTGAATGGAGCTTTTTAATTCTTTTTGGAAATGCAATGTCAAAATGATAACTTAATGTACTATTGAAAGCATTAAACTTACTATCAATATTCTCAGCTTCGTACAGATCTCCCCAGTTCTCTAGCTGAAGGCAATGTTTAAAAGTCTCTATATTGGTGGAATTAAAACTCCTAGCGTACGTAAATTTCGCTCCTGAACGATCAGTAGGCAAGTTAGTGTTGATCAAAATTGATTGAGCATAGTGGTCGGACAGACAAGATTTTATGACATCGCTCCTGAGGTTGTTATTATCGTTTGAGAATATGTGGTCGATCAATGTACATGAGCCCAAAGCTTCCCGTGTATAGGAGTGGACCACATTTAGGAGACCAAACGACGACATAGTCGCAGTTAATTTCCTACTATCAAAACTGTCAGTAGATATGTCGACGTTAAAATCCCCTAACACATAAGCCACTGGCTGTTAGTAAAATATACAGTTGTTTTGTTACTTTAAAGGTTTACTTTAAAGGTAAATATGAGTATAAAGATAATTTTCAATCAGTAAAGGTTTAGAACTTTTTCAATGTCCAGACCTGTGAATTTTCTTTATGGAAGAATCACGAATGCTTTACTGAAAGTGGTCCATGTCCTTTAAAATTTGTGAATACGCCAAGAATCAAATCTATCCTCCTCTCAGAATGAAACTATACTCTCTGATATCGATTGAGGATAAGAAATTTTAGTCCTATTCCAAATTATGACTACATAGCCAACTACTTGTATTTTAGTATAAACATTTGCATGATTATCATTCAGGTTGTGAGACAATTGATAGTTAAACAAACCCATTTTGCTGTCCTTTACGTAAAATTCACTAAACACTTTTTTCAATGCTCTCAGAAACTTCTCACTAAACCAATATTCAGTTCTCTTTCAATTTTCCAGGAATCAGGAAGCTGACGTTCACAAAGCAGGTTTTCCAAGACATTGTGTTGCCGATGTCTAGTCTAGAGGAGCAGATTGACCTTTCACAGGAGTTGTTTGACCTCTATCCACTGTTGGTGTATCCTTGTAGGGTTTACGACAGAGGAGAACTTTCAGGACAAATACCTACACCAAACCCTGACTGTCTTTGTCCTGGAGCTGACTACGCTCTCTATAATGACTTGGGTGAGTTTAGAATAGACAGTTTTGATTATGGGTTAAGTGTTGTGTAGAAGTTGTCGAAAATTTTCAATGAATGGTACTGACATAAATGACTTACTGTGAACACTTTTTCCTGTTAAAGTAATGGTGGTGATTAGCTAATTTAAAGTTTTACGGTATATGAAAGGGGATGCGGAATACTATCCCCTGGAAAACTACCCCCCCAGGTGAAACGTGACGTCACAAAATCTGCTAACTAACCAATATGGAAGCCGTGTCCGCGACTGGAATACTATCCCCCTTGACAAATCATGCTTATGTAATTTTAATTTTAATTTGAATAATTCCGTTGGATAATAGAAAATGCATGTGGTGACATTTTTGATTTTTGAAATGTTACAGCAAGTTTGGTTGGTTAGGTTAGGTTAGATTAGAACTGTGTGACAACTAAATTTGAGTGTCCGTGACTGGAACCTGCTTGGGGGGGGGGGGTAGTTTTCTGGGGGGCAGTCTTCCGGCGACCCATATGAAAGATACAGTACATTATTTAAATACAATAAAAGATGGTCTAAGATGAGGAGATTGAATTTTCCTAGTTTTATATGAGATTGGTGGGCCTATTGTAACCGTAATCCCCGTACTCATGGATTTCAATCCTGTGCATTTAACACGGGGACGGGGACAGGCTTCTAACAACACTGACCACGTGACACTACTAGACGTTAGTGGTATTAAATTAATCCACTGTTAATTGTTAAGACGTCTACAAAATTATAATAAAACAATGGTATGGTATCGGAAGGGTTCTTGTGAGAATGTGCATACCGCTCTCCGCTCTCATTGACACAATCTATTACAATTGAGTTATTTGAGAAAATGCATTCATTTAGTGTTAAATAGTTACTTAAAACGTTTTTCAGGCATCTATGGAGTTCCAGGCTATGTGAAGCGTAAGTTAGAGTACAACTCAACACAAGCTATGAGAAAGATGGAAGCATTCACACGCAGCATCAGAGGATTCTCTTTCCTCTACGCAGATATCTTCATGACCAGAGAGGAGTTTGAACAGATGTTTGATCTGAAATTGTATGACCAAGTGAGGAAAAAATACTCAGCTGAAGGCGCTTTTCCCCACCTTTACGACAAAGTGAAGCCTGAAATCGATGTGATTGCAATTGGTGAAAACAGCAGCGTGAATGATTAGTTTAAATTTACCAAGTGAAGTGTCGGATTATAGCTTTAAATATTGATAAAATAAAAATAAGTGTTACGTAACTTATTATGACTTTCTGGGGTGTTTGATGGGTATTCCAAACAATAAAATATAGAAAATAATTATTATATAGTGGACTAAAAACTTGAGACATATGAAATTATAGCGAACCCACATTAAAATAATAATTTTTTATCTTGTTCATATTTAATCCCAGCCTTGAGTGTTTTTACAAAGTAATTATAATTGATAGTGATACTTCAGTTACTTCTAAAGTACTCATAACTCTTTGAGATAACTGAATCTAATGGATAAAGATAATTCTGTTTGTGTGTACTATATCCTACCAAATAAAGTGAATGTTTGAAATGATTTATTTTGTCAACAAATAGATGTTTTCAAAAGGTGACAGTGAAAGATAATTTCAATGTTTATAAAATGTTTGAATTTTTGGACTGCAAACTTTTCTCGCTTTTACGAGTAAGAAATTTACTTTAATTGAATTCAGGGTATTAAATTTATAATCTAGAACATTAATTCTTCTTTTCAAGATGAGTTTTATCTTTAGAAAAATAGCATTTTAGTGTTACCATACCTGAGAGTTTAGTTATGGCTAAAATATTTTGCCCTATCCCTGTAGATGCATTATAAACCTGCTTTGAATGTATTTGATCATTTATTTTTATGAATGAGATTTGAATGCTGTATTGCTTAATATGTTTATTAGGTCTAAATTTTCCAGCTTCGGACAAAATTTAGTGATGTGATTGCAGCTTTAAAAGATTGTTACAAGGAATTTGATGATGGATCTATGACATTTGGTAAGCAAAAGCTGTAATAACAGTTTATGTTTATTCGCTTTATTAATCAAACTACTGTACATTGATAACCGTTGTATACCTTAAAAGTCAAGGATATTTACTGTATTCCTTGATACATACTTATTTATAAGCTATAAATTGTTAGCTTCTATATATATTTACATGGTAAAGGTTTAGTCTTTATATGTTTATAGTAAAACTGGGAAAACCTTTATGTTTGAAGTGGAGGATTGTAATGGCTCTTTAGTTTTATGGATTAAGACTTAACAATAAATTGACAATGTCCAATGCAGACCCTTTGTATGCTGTGACAAATAAAAATCTCAAGAACATTGAAAACACATTTTATGAAATAGTCATTGGGGGCTGGTGTGTGTCCCTGTATCATCACTTTGAATCAGTCAACTTATGTTCACACTTAAAGTAAATTGCAAGTAAATCTGAACATTTTCCAAATTAACTTTGGCATTTGGACTTCCATTTGGAAGACAAGAGTTTGCTTATACTGTAGTGGTGTTTGTGTCATAACCACATATTTCCTGTTTAGTTAAACTTTTTTCGGTTTGGTAATCATACATGCATTTTCTTGTAGATCTATGTTTAGAAGAAATATTGGAAGAAGAGAAGTCAAAAAAATGTGAAAAAGCAAAATATGAACGCTGTAGGGTAAGGTCATTATGGATACCACATTCTTGAACTATTTCTAGAAGTATTTTCTTAAATTTTTTGTCCTTCAATGTAGTTATTTTTATCTATCGTCTAAGGCAGGTGTTTACACACATTTATCTCATCAGGAGGTCATTTCATATAACTAGATTTCATTCAACGAATCTTAAGTACATATACCTGTTGCAAACGTTTAGACCAGAAAATTAAGGTGCTTTAAAAAATCACCAGTGGTATCCAACTATGCTCCACAACAATGGAATGCGGCAATGATTTGCAAACGTTGGTAATAATTTGCAACTTTTGAAAGATAATTAATTGAGATAAAGTTGTTTGATTAACATATTTTTTTGGTTTCCAGAGCGTTTATGTCTGCACTGCTAGGAAGCTTGGTTTGGTAAGCAATGCCATTTATATTCCAAAACAGTTGAGATGTTTACTATCCAGGCCATAATAATTAATACATGATTTATATAATCTGTTTGGGTAGCTGGGTGGTTATAGTGCTCACCAAGAAATCGTATGATTCCTCGTTTGATTCCAAAGCCAGATCGTTATTGGACTCAGATGCAATTTGTTATTGGACTACCAATCAACGATGCTATCCAGCAAAACGATTACCATGAGATAGTAACTAACTAGTAACATGACCAGGGTTTAGAACTTTCTCTTACAAAAGATCTTTACTTACTCAAAAAAAAAAAGCTAAGTTACTATATTGTCATGGCATTAATTTATTAATATCACGATAACTTAACTGCAGAAAACATCTGAAAGGAATTATATAAAGCATAGTGACACATGAACACAGTAGCTTAAAAGTACCGGTACATTGTTGGCTTAAAAGTTAGTTATTCACAATAGAAAATTAATTTGATCTACAGTTAGAAATATGAAACAAGTGTAATGCTTTTCTGTGATAAGCTTCCACGGTTTATTCCTATATAGGTGGTAAATCCTTTCCTGGTCTTCTGGTGACGACCGCAAAGATGAAGATGACAGTGAAGTAGTTGCAGATATTTCATATGCGATACAGCAACCTGTACTAAAGGCACTGAGAGAGAGAGAGAGAGAGAGAGAGAAAATTCTTTATTTATTACACACTGTTTTGCAGCAATAAATACAAAAAAATAAAAATATCACATGGGTCACAATGACCTGTGCGTGATAGAGTCCTTAGCTGTCTGCTGTCAAAATAAAAGTTCTTCACACTTCACAATACACATAAAAAAAAGAACTAACAATAACTTGGTAAAATAACACTATACAATTAATACTATAACAGTTATAAAATAACCTAAAAAACCATATGCAACGTGCAATCAATAACAAGGGGTGCACAAAGCATAACTTTTTTCTTTCAAACCAAATTTTTTTTTACTGACTCTAACACTTCTTCTGTGTTCCCTATCCTTTAGAGTGTTCAGGTTATTCATGCTTCATTGCAGTCGTCACGCTAAGACCAGGGTCACCACCTTAAAATATTATGATATTGATTGAAAACTGGTTGCTTTTGAGAAACATGTAGAACCTATCCATAATGATTTATTGTTCAAAAGATGTTACTTATTTCCTTATGTCTTTCCTAAACCACCTTGATGAAGCTAGATGCTAAAGGGAAGTTGATGCCGAAAACTCTCCACAAGTACAAATGCAGAGTGAATGACGATGAAGAGTTCAATAGAGTCTACAGGATCTGCAGGAAAGGTATCTTTATTGACTGGACCTCCAGAATACTACCCACCTGTTGTCTTACTATCTCATTAATAGAAGTATCTATGGGAAACAAAATATTGAGAGACACTTATCTAGTATGTCAGATTAATGCTACTCTGTATGTTGAGACAAACTTGAGAACCAATCAAAATAAGAATTTAATGTATTGAGCTTCTTGTTTCAGTGGAAGGTTCGGGAGCTGAAGCGGTGGTGAATGCATTGAAGTGTATTGTGAACACTTCTGCTAAGGTAACACACTGCTCAGTATGTATTATAGTTCAGTGGTAAAATTATAGGTCTGATGAAAAAAAGGTATTTCCAAAGTTTTCACTGTGTGGTATCTTTTAGTATTTGTTTAAGCCACTCGAGGCACCATCTTAGAGAAGACACTTTCCTTTTTGTGATACATAGATTAAATACTATTTATAAGAATCATGTTGGGGATACCACAATTAATTTAAAATGCAAGAAGCTTATATCATGTTTTTTGTTTTCAGGCAAGAACAAAAGCAGAAGAAGTCAGGCCTTACTTGAAGAAATATTTGTGAAAATAAGTGTTGTTCTAGAATTAATAAATACAAGGATAATGGTGAATAGCAAACAGCATTTATGTTTTGTTAAAATCTGATTTTCTGTTGTACATCTGGTATTTAATGTATTTTATAGGAAAACCACAATAAAAATAAAAATTCTCCAACAAATAATAAAAAAGACTCTGTAGATACCATGGATTAATACCTAAATTCCACATTTTATCCAAATCAGATCACAGGTGTAGTCTGTAGCACATTTTTTGGGGGTTAAGGGTGACCCAAAGTAGATATTACCACCCAAATTTCAAACTTGATCATTTTGTAAAGACACTATTTTCTCCATATAGACTACGGTACTAGGGGACAAAAGTAAAAATTGGTTCAATATTCTTAACCCTCGAGGAGACGCTTCACCAATAAAACAGGAGCGGGCGCATGCAGAGTTTTATTCCGCAAAACTAAATAGCATAGATTTTACCCATTTTACTTGTTGTTATAACGATATACTATATGTAAATGTTGAATAACCTAATCAGAAACCTAATTTCTTTGTTGATAACATACTTGTTTAACTTTATATGAGTAATATTTCAAATAATAATATTGAGAAATTTTCCAGTATAAAGGTATGTTACGAGGGGCGTGCAGAGTTTTGATCCGCAATAATTCAATTATACATATACATGCAAACAAAATATATTTGATAATAACTATAAATAAAATAATAAATTTATACATATTTATAATTTTGTATGTATAAAATATACACAAAGTTTGAAAATAACGCATGAGGAAATAAACTCTGCGCTGAGGACTTACGCGATAGGGCGCACGCGGAGTAAACCTCCGCAAACTGACACCGCGACACTGAATTGCAGCTGACAACAAAATGAGGAGGAATTCGGGGGTACAGATAGCTAATGGGAATTCCCAGGATGAGGTGCGTGAAGTGTAGAGCCATACACGACTGCCGACACCCATTATGCATATTTATATTAACAAAAACTACAATTGCGGAGGAAAACTCCGCAAGCCCCCGCTCGAGGGTTAATAATACTGTAAATTTTGAAGGTGTTTATTCATTCTAGTAATCAAAACGTTGTACTTCAGTGGTCGTGAGACAGGTTCAATACGCTAGATATCCACAAAAAAAAAAAAAAAAAAAAAAAAAATAGAGGGGAAGAAATCCCTTCTCAATTTTTTGTGTTAAATGTTTTTAACTCAAATATGTCACTGCCCTTAAAAAAATTCTGCATGGTTGCAATTTGGAGGGATAGGGGCTACTTATTCTTGACAAAAGCCCTGACTTGGACAGCAAATGCTGAACAATTCATTTACATGGACTAGCACAGTTGGGTTTTCTTGGTCCCTAACTGTAAATATTGAGCACACATGGTAAAGAGTGATCATAGCATGACTATTGCCATGTCACTGATCTAATCACTCTGCAAAGATCACTATCAATGCTTCCTGTTTCATTTGCCATCATCAGTTCATCAGGATGAATGGAGGACAGCTGACCCTGGTCACAGCAGTTGTTATCCTGCTTGTATTTATATACACCTATGGCCCAAGTAAGTGTTATTTTTCTTTGTGAATTCACATTTGCAAATTTTTGAAAATATATCTTTTTTATTCGATATAGTTGATAAATCACAAGTTTATCTCAAAGCATTGTAGGTATATACAATCCATTGTAAGCTGAAAGGTAGTTTAACACGTTCGCTACTGCAATAGTACGAAATTTTCCATTCACACGGACCAGCGACGCACATATGCGACGGCCTGTTCCCAACCATAGACTGCCGTCCCATATATGCGACGGCTAGTCACATTAAAATAGACTGCCGACGCATATTTGCGTCGGGGTTCTAATGTTATTAAAATGCTTATATCTTTGTAACGGTCTATTTGAAGGCACTGAATTCCCTGTAGTGGTCTACAGAGATGTCTGGCGCACAACTGCGTCGCTTGGTCTGTGGATATGATGATTGGTGACGTCATATGATAGTTGGAAAAACTGGTCTTTACTTTTCTGCATCACTGTATGTATGTATGCAGTATGTATGCTGCATTATCCTATGTAGCTTTTATATTTGTTCTTGTTCAGTTATAAACTGTTCTTGAATAATCTGTTTTGTTTTTTTTACTTACTTTCACCTTAAAACACAAAACAATGAACTGTCGCATATATGCGACGTTTAGTCTATTTCAAGAAAACTATGATAATTTTAAATATTGTCTTCGCTGTAGACCGGGCGTCGCAAATATGCGACATTACAAAAGGTTATAAAAAATAGAAAAAAACAAGAATAAATTATTTACGAACACGATTGTAGCGTATTACAATGCAAATTATCACTGTTTTACAGGTTTTCACCCGTGGTCTGTGTGTACTGTTATCCAAGTGACAGCCGGTCTATGTGTAAGATTCAAATGTATACCTCGGTCTGTGGCAATGACCGCGGCGTCGCATATATGCGACGCTCAGTAGCGAACGTGTTAAAGTATTGTGTAGTGCAAAAATTGCATTAATCTGTTTTTAGAGGTTGGCTTGAGAGCGAAACGTATTAAGCAAAGCGATATGTCTGTTCTGTGAAGCGTTAACTATACTGATAAACATAGCTCAGACAAACCTACAATATTGCTGCAATGAATTTACAGGGTAAAAATGGGGTTTTCCCGTTTGACTAATGGAAGCAAGTGAAAATTTGCTTAGTCTGCAGGTTTACTGCGGTAGGGGTGTTGTGATTTTGCACTTTGTATGAGGGTTGAGAGAATTGCTGAAGAGGGCTTCTAGCTTGCTGTAGGTTGTACACCACTTACAAATACAAATTTTTATGGAGTTTTCTTATTCATTCAGATGCTGCCAGATGGACAGTTTACCATTCACAAAGGGACATTTTAATTGCTGGCATCTAGACATCCTCTCTTTCCCTCCTCACTCCATAACCATAAGTACTAATATGGGTATTAAAGAGTGGTAGTGGAGTAGCTGTGTTGTTTGTTAATGGTTGTGGTTTTTGCTTACTACAAAAGAGTCTATCAGGGAACTGTAACTGTTGTGTACACTGTTCTGTAGTTCGCAAGTTAGATAATACAAATTTTAAGGGGTCAACAGTAATATTTTTGAACTAATTTAGAACTTATGTAAGGGTTACCTGACTTTTACTTTTTTATCATTTTTACTTTCAGACTTTTACATTCAAATATCTAAAAAAATCAACTTTACTTTTCACTTTGTCTATATTGTATTACAACATTTCGCTGAATTGAATTAACTACTGTTATTAAACCATTGGTGACAACTCTCATACATTTTAAGCTAAAACTGATTATTTTAATACATTTGCTCATTATAAAAACTTCAATCTCATATAAAACAATGTTCAACTATATTGGAATACAAATTCAATCTTTTATTTTATCCAGCAGTACAACCTTTAATCAGATTTTTTTTTAAATTGTACTATTATTTGTATGATTCATTGTGTGCGGTACCTACTCTTATATGCTAGAGTTGTTTGCTCTTTGCATTATTAAATACATTAGAATTACAGTATTCAACTACTTAAACCTTTGTTTGGTTTTCAAAGTATTTTGAATCAATCATTTGACCAAAAAATCATACTGTTAATTGCCAGTCATTAGTTTAAGACCAATTATATAACTTAAATTGCAATTTTCTTTTTTCGTAGACTTCAAAGTACACTTTGTAACTTACTTCTTAATTTGACAACTGCTCTGCATGAAAAATGTTTGACTCTTCCAATACATTTGTAATATGTCTACTGGAAATAAACATGTCTTATGTCTTATGTCTTATGTCTTATGTTGGCTTCCAGATATTATATGAGGTATTAATTGATCTGAAAAAAACTCATTCCTCTTTAGTTTGTAACTATGTACAATTGGTACTATTCTGTTTAAAAACTGCATTTATGCTTATTTTACTTAGTTCTTCTTTCCTTTATATTTTGGTTTCTAGCTCAAGCGCAGCAGGTAGATAAGAGAACATTCAAGAAGACATTTGTGGAAGCAGCAAAAAAGTGTTCACAAGAAGTTGGCCCCCCATCAGGTGAGTTTACAAGACATGTTGAAACAAATCACTATCATTAAAATTTAAACATCAAAACTGTGAATAAGGGTTTTCTCTGTTAAATCCCTTTTACAGCCGTATAACTTGAAGGCATTTTGCGATTGAAGTGCATTTATAAAGCTTATGACCTAGCCGAGTGAGGAATGGTAATTAAAAGGTTATTTCCTTTAGGACTTTGTCCCTTTTGCTTATGATTTATTTCTACAGTATGCATTCAAATGTTCAGTATAATGCTGACCTTCTTTCTTTACAAAAAGGTTTAATGTAAATTGTAATTTAACTGCTGGTTGTTCAGTTGATTGTTTAACCATAGTCAGAATGTAAACGAGTGAGACAATAGCTATTTACATTACAAGTGTAGTAAGAGCGTTTTTACATCACGCAGGTGAAAGTTGTGCAACTCGCTTCGCTCGTTGCATAATTTACCTAAGTGATGTAAACACGCTCTTGCGTAACGTGTAACGTACAAGATTTTACCTGACCCGACAATATACAGGAGGTTACGAACAATATTTTTCAATACCCATTTCACTCATCTTATAACAGTAAGGTTCATTTACAAACAAAAGCTAGGTTAGGAAAATTCTCCAAAACATAACAATAACAATAAAATTCAAGCACACAGCTGATTTCTAGCGTTAAACTCGTTGGCTCCATAGAGTTATATTTTTTAAGTTATCCACTCAATGTTATTTAAATGGGTTTCATTACATCACCGAGTGAGTTTTTTGATACTTTACATCACTCGAGAAGTAAGGAAGTTGTATACATCACGCTTAGGATAGGGAAGTTTAACATGGCGGGTTAGGTAAAACAATTTATTGAAGTGGTTTTAAGGCTACTTTTTGATAAGTTTAACAGCTGATTGAGGTAGGTAAATTGGTGTAGATCCAAAATAAACTATTTTATGTTATTAAATTGAGTTAAAAAAGTTTTAACGCAATTAAAATGCCCACAGCTCCCCTTTGTTTGTAATTATTTGTATACAAATGTCATGTAAAAATCCAATCTAGAAATTATTATATTTTTTTTAATGTTTTATGGGATGTTACATTCA